TAAGAGAATAAGAAAAATTTTGTGTCCGAGATAATCATATGATAAAATCGGTTTTTTTTTTTAGTGAAATTTAGTGTCATTGCAAAGGTCTTGACTTGAATTTGTGCCTTTTCAAGGTTTCATATCATTCTCACCAATAGTCAATAGTGTTTATTATGATAGGAATTAAGGCTGCATTCGAAAATGCTCTATCTCTAGATACATAATTAAGAAACGACCTTTTATCTTGTGAACTATTGAAATTTTCAAAGATATAAGCGCACCCTGACATTACACTCATCGAATCCTTTCGTTGAGTACCGAAATCAATTTTTCATATAATTATATATATGTATGTATGAAAAATATATCAAAAATGCATGTGGGCACTCAACTGAAAGCTCTTGATGAGTGTAACATCGGGATGAGCTTATATCTTTAAAAACGTCAATAGTTAAGAAAGTACAGTGCAATTTAACAAAAGTCATTATTTAAAAAACTAAAATTTTAATTTTTCTTTAGTTCACAAGTCACAGCAGTCACATAGTGACTGCAAGGTTGCTGGTTATATTTCATTTGATTATTAAATGATACTCTATTTTGATAAAATTGATGCTTTTATGTCACAAAAAAAAAGCATCTAAAAGAATTGTACAGGTACTAATGCATACAGCATAAATGAGTTTTATGATATTAGTATCAGGATAAATATTAAGTTCAATTATAAAATATAAAATACTCAAAGCGTAACAAAAACTCAACAGCCAGCTAATGCTGATAAAATGTAATACAATTAGGGAAGATCTAATTTAACTAAAAACTGTTCCTTTTTTATAATACGACCATTTAAATTCATTTGAATTGTGAATACTTAAGACTGCTGATTAATCTATTTCGACAGCGATAGCGATGCCCATTCCACCTCCAATACACAATGAAGCAACACCTTTTTTGCCTCCAGTTCTTTCTAATAAGTGTAACAGCGTAACTAGAACTCTTGTTCCTGAAACAAGAATTTTAAGAATAAAGTATGTATTTTTTTTTTTAAATACAATATAATTTACTAAATAAATATTTACCAGAAGCGCCTAGAGGATGACCTAGAGCAATAGCTCCACCGTTGACATTAACCTTTTCAGGATCTAGCCCAAGCTGATTCATACAAGCAATTGACTGGACAGCAAATGCTTCGTTCAATTCATACAAATCAACTTGATCCTTTGTCCAGTTAGCTTTTTTCAACTAGAGTACAATTATGATTGTCATTTGTAAGTACATAAGTGGACAATTATCTAGAAATAAAGTAGTAGTATGTAATGATAATTGTATGGCACTTACCACCAGTTCAACAGCTGGTACCGGACCTAGACCCATAACATCAGGCTCAACGCCTCCCTCAGCAATCGCAACTATTCGAGCAAGTGCTGGAATTCCTCTTGCTTTAGCGGCTTCTGCTGACATAAGTACAACTGCCGCTGCACCGTCATTTATTCCTGATGCATTGCCAGCTGTCACGGTTCCTTCCTTCTGTATTTTTTAATATTTATTATAATTATTTTATAGTGAAATATTATTTACAGCAAACTGTTAACAAATATTATTTTCTAAATAGCACAATTTAATTTTCAAATGGTTTTTTTTTATAATTACTAAAAAAATGTTTGCTTAATAATTTTTCGATATTTTTAATCACAAGGTATAACTAACTGATACTTTGGGTACTTTTTAAATAGATTTTAAAATAATATTGCTACGGCAGGATTAATTAATCTATAATATCATTAAGAGAATAAAAAAAAAGCTGCATTCGAAAATTCTCAATCTCTAGATACATAATTAAGAAATGACCTTGTATCTTGTGAACTATTGACATTTTTAAAGATATAAGCTCATCCCGATGTTACACTCATCGAGACCTTTCATTTGAGTACCCACATCAATTTTTCATATATTTATATATATTACATATATGTATATATGAAAAATATATCAAAAATGCATATGGGTACTCAAATTTGTGAAATATTAACATTTTTAAAGATATAAGCTCATCCTGATGTTATACTCACCAAGACCTTTCATTTGAGTACCCACATCAATTTTTCATATATTTGTTATATTTACATATATGTATATATGAAAAATATATGAAAATGCATGTGGGTACTCAATTAAAAGCTCTTGATGAATGTAACATCGGGATGAGCTTATATCTTGAAAAACATCATTATTTAAGAAAATACAGTGCAATTTAACAAAAGTCATTATTTAATAAAGCAAAATTTTATTTAAGACAAATTTTGGTACAAATTTTCTGATAATACCAAATTTAACTGTAAAAATTTCTTTTAATAAAATATCAACGTCACAAAATTTATCTTCATCTCTGAATTATGAAGATTAATATTTGACTTATCACGACATTTACATGCACAAAAAAAATAGTTAAATAAACAAATTTTATCTAACGCGCAATTTTAATTTATTTAGAATTATTCTGAAAACTTGTCTTAATAAATTAACTAACGCTTAAAAGTATGTGACATTGAATTTAAATCAAATAATGGATTTTACTTGTCAACGTTAAGAAATAAATAACGTCATTAATTATCAAGTATTAAATAAAAAATAAAAAAATCATTTTTTACATACTTTGTCAAAAACAGGACGTAATTTTCCAAGATTTTCAGCAGTAGTTCCAGCTTTAGGATACTCGTCTTGAGAAACAAAAGTCGACTGTTTTCTGCCGGGAACTTCAACAGTTACAATTTCTTTTTTAAAGTACCCATTAGCTATAGCAGCTTCTGCTCTTTGTTGAGATTTGGCCGCTACTATATCTTGATCTTCGCGACATATTTTAAATCTCTTGGCGATATTTTCAGCTAGAAAAAAAAATTTATTTTCCAATAAATCATAAATTTAATGAAGCACGGCAGAAAAATTGTAAGAACCAGTATCTCCCATATGGATCCCAGTAAACGCGTCAGTTAATCCGTCAAACGTCATCGTGTCAACCATTGTGGTATCTCCCATTTTAACACCGTTTCTAAGATGAATAGCGTGAGGTGCTTGGCTCATGCATTCTTGACCTCCAGCGACTACAACTTCGCTCTCGCCTGCTTTGATAGATACATATCCATTGGTAACTGATCTGAAAAAATTATTTATGTGTAATATGAATAATTCATCTTTTTTTTTTTATATTTTTTTTTCATACTTAAGACCAGAGCCACAGAGCATATTTATCAGGTACGCAGGTACGGATATTGGGAGACCAGCTTTCATAGAAGCTTGACGGGCTGGATTTTGACCTTGTCCTGCTGGCAATGCCTAAAATTTTAATTATTTCTATTATTCAAAGAGTATCTTGTTAAATATTGACATTTTTAAAGATATAAGCTCATCCTGATGTTACACTCATCAAGACTTTTCATTTAAGTACCCACATCATTTTTTCATATATTTATATATATTATATATATGAATATATATATATATGTATATATGAAAAATATACCAAAAATGCATGTGGGTATTCAAATGAAAGCTCTTGATGAGTGTAACATCGGGATGAGCTTATATCATTAAAAATGTCAATAATTAAGAAATGACCTGGTATCTTGTGAAATATTGACATTTTTAAAGATATAAGCTCATCCTGATGTTACACTCATCAAGACCTTTCATTTGAGTACCCACATCAATTTTTCATATATTTTATATATTTATATATATGTATATATGAAAAATATATCAAAATGCATGTGGGTACTCAAATGAAAGCTCTTGTTGAGTGTAACATCAAAATGAGCTTATATCTTTAAAAACGTCATTATTTAAGAAAGTACAGTGCAATTTAATAAAAGTCATTATTTAATAAAGCAAAATTTATTTATTAATAGTTCACTAGTTTAATGAAAATAACATACTTGACCCATAATAACTTCAGAAACATCAGAAGGTTTGAGATTAGCCCTCGCTAAACTTTCTTTTATGACAATACTGCCCAAATCAGAGGCTTTGAGTGCCGACAGTCCACCGCAAAACGATCCTGCAATCAATCAATAAGTAATAAACAAGTCAAATTTAATTACTACTTATTTTTATAATTTTTCATCCACAAAAATGGATAACTAATTTGCCCTAACGGTATTTTCGAAAGTAGCTCCAGGTTATTTATCTGTCAAATAATCATTAACTCAGATAAAAAATATTTTTAAAAATCCCCGTTTAATTATGATTAAAATTAGGATTCCTATCTCGTTAAAGGAATAATCATTTAAATTTTAACTTGCTAATATAATTTTTAAAAAATTCCTTAACTTATATTAATAGAGTAATTCATTTACCTATTGGAGTTCTAACAGCAGACACAATAACCACTTGTCTTTCTGACATTGTTGGTGTCTATTGTTAATTTAAAAAAAAATTACTCAAGGTGATTAACAAAGTTGGTTTACTTTTCTTGGATTATTTATTTATATTGAAGCGCTTATTTTGTACCGCTGAGAAATAGCGGAAGCCACGTTAACGTCAACGCCTGGCTCGCTGGATCTAACACAACTGATTATTTTACACCAACCACGTCTACCTTGTCTCCATCATTCGTACCTACAATATATACACACATAAATATCAATATATTATACATAATTTTTTTTTGTGTAATAATAATACTGACCTATTGCGTTAGATATTTTAGAGTGATAAGATTTTCATGTAAGAAATTTTTTTAGATTAATAAAAATTGACATTGATTTTTATTAAAAAAATTAAATTGTTATAAAAAATTAAAATATAAAATAATTTTTTTATGAAAATTAAATTAACCGACATTTAAAAATTATTATTGATAATTTTTATACAAAAAATATAAAAATTCACTTGTAAAACTTTAAGTGCAATTTTTAATAAATATTTTTTTGTTCAAATTTATTAAATAAAAAAATTTTAAACGTCAGCTAACTTTACTTGAATTTTTTTTTTTAATTTTAATTCATCAATTTAGTTTTTTTATTAAAATAAATTTTATAGTTTTCTTTTTTTAGTCCCTAAAAAAAAAGACTAATTTTATTTAGAGTAGTAATAAAAATAAATGCATAGTTTTTTATTTATAAAAATAATTTACATAAAAAAAATAAAAATTAACATGGATATTAAAAAAAAATTTCACTTTTAAAAACAATTTTTTTTTTTCATGAACATTTAACAAAAACAAATAAATGACACTGAAAATAAGCGACATAATTTTTTTAACCAATAAAACTTAAAAATATTTTTATAAAAAAATTTCACGCAAAATTTTAAAAATAATTTTTTTATAACAATTTATTTATAAAAAAAACATGTCAGTTTTTAAAAAAAGTTAATTAAATTAACAATTTTAAAAATTAAAACAAAAACTAACTTCTAATAAATTAAATTAAAAAAAAAAAGCAAATAAATAAATAATACTAAAGTTAGCCGACGTTTTTAATTTTTTGATTTGTTTTTTTTTATTAAACTATAACTAAAAAATATTTTTTAAAAATTGCACTTATAGTTTATTTTCAAGTTTTTTACAAATGAAAATTTTTCTTTATTTTCTTGTAATAATTTTTCAATTAAAAAAATTTTTTTTTAACTTTTAGATGTCGACTTTTCATAATAAGAATAATTAAATAAATTTTTTAGTTGATAATCAACTTGTTTAATCACCACACAAAATCTTTTATTTACAAAAATTTTCCAAAACTCGGGGCGAAAAATTTTTCCGTTACAACCCTGAAAATTAGTACCAAAATATTCCACATAGGTGGCGCATGCGTCGCGCTAGCCAGTGCGTGTTGCAAATGAAATTTCTCGGTTTGTTTTTACCCGTCGTGCATTGGTAGTTTAACAGTGGTTAGTAGAATTGTGTGACCAACCAGTGACTGGTGCTAAGATGGCTGACAATAAGGAGGAAAATAACGAGCTCGCCAATAATCGAGGTAATTTATAAAATAATCACACGTTTGTAACAAATGACTATCACAAACAATCGCCCGATCACCAATCACCCGTTACATAATAAAACAAGAGCTCTGAGGTGGTGCATTGTCTGATAAAAAATATCGCCATCTGCACGTTTGATCTCCGGGTCAACGGGCATGGAGCCTCGCCGATTTTATATCAAGTTATTAGAGCTATATTTTTCCCGCTAATCTATTTTGTACAGTAGTTTAAAAAATTACAAGTTATTTATTTAGAGTGACAGGTTTTATCCAGGATTATTGTCTGTCAGGTCGTTGAACGTGGGAGACTTTTTTTT